CTAACAAATTTACCACCATTACAAGCCAAGTCACAGTATAATTATCAATAGTAGTATAGCATACATCAGTCAAGATTTAGTTGTACTTCAATTACAACAAGCTTTGGAAAATAGAAATCACGTTCAGCGACAAAATTCAAACATCAAGGAAAATGCAAGTAACCTAACTCTACACAAATTCAAGCTCCCTTGATGGGCTTACTCACTCACCTCAAACATATTTAAGTATCTGGTGAAAAGTGCGGGCAAGTAACACTCCCAATCAATCAACTTGTAGTTCTTTACAACACGAGCAATAACAGCTGCCCATTGACTGTTCCAAAATTGGCAATTGGGTATCGAGTCCCAGAGGTGGAAAAACTCTTTAATCCAATCACTGTAAAACCAAGAATACAAGGTGACTTCCCCGATAATCATGTTGAAAACCATAAAGAACAAGAATATGAGATACATGTGCTCCTTACTGTGAAAAGAAGTCCTGGTTGTCCAAGTTTGTAGGAAGAAACAGTCTAACAAACCCGGAACCCTCGAAGGATGAATTATGCCAGGGATTTTCCAATAAAGATCTGCACAGTTTGTTTCATTAAACAAATAGAAACAACAATGAGGGAATGAATGGAACAATTGTAATCACCTATTCTGTGGTTCTATTTAAAAGTGAATGTGCACACACGTGTGTATCTATCTATATAAATGAAAACATAAACAAAAAAGAAACTGAAAAAAATAAACGCAAATGTGACTTGGATCATGCGGTATTTTAATCCTTTTTGACTGATGAAATGTCAATAGTGTGTCAAACATCCTAGAGATCATGCACCCCAGTCCAACAAGGGAAAAGGGCCTCAAAGTACTTACCTAAACTCGGACCATATCTCAAAGGCAGAACCTGGTGGGAAGAACTTCCGGCAAGACCGAACAAGAGAAGTTGTAGCCTCAAAATGTCGTTGTCTCAATCTCCAGCCTTCTGGACCTGTACTCCTGTAACATGTATCAATATATGAAGTTCTTCAAAAGCGGTCTATGCTATACCAATTTAAATGAGAAGTTGGTTTCATGGCAGAAAGGTAGTAATCAAGCCAAATATTTCAAAAGAAACAATATCATGAACTGTACAGCTTTATTAAAACCATATCCAAGTTAAACACCGCATAAAATTAAGCATTTGAAGTCAGATTGGTTATCATCTTCCTTCAAGTCATTGGCTTCATTATTTAAGAACACCTTTTCTTTCAAATCCATAGTTTGATTGCATTCACAAGGAATCATGAACTTATGTACATAAATTTGTCCTGTTTAGAAAAAGATGGTCGTATCTTAAATATTTTCTACATGCCAAGGTTGCACCCCTTTGGCAGCTATAATAAATTTACTTATGACTACAGAACAAGTAATAAATTAATTAACAATGAAAGAAAAAGGCAGTACGTTTGAAGGTGAATATATAAGACTCACCTAGTGAAATGTGTATGGATCAATGTTTCGTACAAAGGCCGCCATTTTAATTTCAAAGACAACTTCTTTCGATGCTTATTGAGTAGTTTGACTAGGATGTTTCCCCATCTAACCTATCAATACAAATCGAACCCACATTTAAGAAATACTGATGACAAGCATGTCAACGAAAAATGAATTAAAGGAAAAATCAGCTATGCAAAGTATTACCTGGGCATAAAGCTTATTTTGCGATACATAAAACAATTCCAATCCAAATTCAACAAGAACAGTTACATCTTCCAAGGATACTTCACTTTTCGCCTTGACGAAACTGCATCACAAATTACACATCCAACTTCAATATGGTTGAAGTACAGCAACACTAACACATTCATTGCTTCCAAAGCTCGAGTATATTATTGAAATGATGAACACAAGTAATTCGGATTGCAAATTTAACAAAAACCCAGTTCCAATGGCAGAATTTAACACAAACCCAATTCCAAAATAACAAAATATTGAGAAACCCAATAAATTGAACAAAAATGGAGAGGACAAATAGTGAATTGAGAAAGTGAATTGGGTGAGCTCACAGGTCGATAACAGAAACCCATTTGAGAGTGGCATAGACTGATTCAGGATCGTCTGGTTTGTACGAGTTCTTGACGGAGGAGACGACCCAAGAGAATGACTCCTTCTCCTTCTTCGACTCCTCGGCAACCGGAGGCGGCAGCCATGCATTGTAGAGGTGCATAGTTTGCAGGATTTGCTCTGTGAATTGGTGATCGGGAAGAGAAAGGGAATGGATTTAGGAGTGAGTTTGTAGGGATTTATAGTGAAAGCATTCGAAGACTTTGGGTTCAGCCTGCCTTTCTGAACAAGAAAGTTGGGAAATTGGAAGAGACAGTTGAGGGAGACGGATTGGGGTTTTCTTTCTGCCTTGTGGAAAGATCAAGGAGGGGAGTGACTGACTGGCTACCGGGGACTGGTTTTTTTGTTCACTTTTATTGACTTCGTGCTTTGGTAAATATTTTCCATCCATAGTTTTATAGTTTTATATCGTTGAAATTTGCATAACTTCTAACTTTATCACTTGAGATGTGAAATTAATAAAATATACACCGTCAATCATTTTAGTCATTCCGTGAAAAATTTCTGATGAACAGTGACCAAAATGATAAAAACACCTTAATTTAATCAACAATGGTCCAAATTGATCCGACAAAAATTAAGGATACTTTTGTCTTCTTCTTCTTATTTAACAAAATTAACAAAATGATCGATAGTGGACAAATTTAAAACTAATTCTATCGATTTTAAATTTCGAATACTAGAGTGAAGAGTTACCAATCACGAAGACTATTTTAGGAAAAAAAAAACATTTGCTTTATAAAGTTTCTAAGTACCTAAATCTCATCACTAAGTCCCATCCGAACGCACAAATATTTTGATTTAGACTTGGACGAGATTTGTGTTTTCTAAAAGGGCAACCTAAATCTCCGAAGGAATACTAACAACGGTTCATTTTCCACTAAAAAGTTATTACATTGCTCAATATTCCAACTATATATGATAGAATATTCACCTTTTTGTAATAATTTTAAAAGAACCAGCTATATTTAAAATATTAAATAATGGACCGTATATGGATGCAAGAAAGGTAATATTCTAATCTCCGACTTTTGAGACATTTTATGACTCAAATTTTGGTCATTGGGCATATTGAACGGTTCATTTCGATTCAAATAATTAACGGCTCATTTCGAAGTACTTTTAAAAGATTAAAAGTGCATTTGATGAAATTGATTCTGGCATCAAAAGCACTTTTAGTTTTTTTTTTTTTTTTTTTTTTTTGGAAAAAAAACACACCAGATACATGCTTCTTATAGGAAGCACATAAGTGTTTTTCCAGAATTACTTGAATTTTTACTAAATATTGATTTAAAAACATTTTCATTAAAAACGTTTTCAGTTATTCTAAACCATTTTCTAACAAGCCCCAAGACTCATGGGAATCTAGAGTTAAAAAGAGATGATATTGATTTGTAATAGTAACGCATATGCTTGCTCAACAAGTTTTTGTCCTCTTAATCTATTGGGGCAATTTTTTCTTATCGAGAATATTCTTGCTCATAGTGTTCAAAAGAAGTGACATGGATTGTATAAACGTCATCTCACATATGCTTGCGCAATAAGTTTTCATCTGTTTTGTTTTTCTAGGGGCAATTAGTCTTTGCTGAAAATACTTTTGCTCACTACGATTGAGTGATGATGAGTGAGACATGATCTAACTGTTACACGAAATTTAAAAATAAAATGATAAAATTACCACTCAAATCAAATACAACGTCTAGACTTTACTACCCAATTTTGATATTTAAACTCATTTGATGACGGATAATATGGTAGTAATTTTTGTACCGCTTAAGAGTTTTGGGCAAAAATGTTTTCTTCCGTTGTTCGTATGATGCAAGCATAAATGCTATTGGCATAAAGTGTGTTTAGCTGACTATATGGACGGTGGATTTCAATGGCCAACTTGCATGCCACGCTCAAGGTAATAAAAATAACGGCCTGGATTTAATTTATCAATACATTTGTGAACCCATTAAACCCACCAAAGAAATCACCCACTGCCACTGTAGCCAAGCCAACATAAGGTCATTGGCTGCTCATGTCCGCAATAACTTCATAGAACTAGGATCCTCTCCTGAGCAATTCCCTAGAGATCCTACAATCTTGTCCGTTCATTTTATATCGTGTTGTCAGTTTTCGTTGGGTACTATTTATATTTGAATTTTAAAATTTAAATTTTAAATGATTTCTGATCGCACAATATACAATGAACGAACAAGATTGCGGGATCCCTATGAAATTGCTCAGGAGAGGATCCTGGTTCAACTTCATAGCCCCAATGTATATTTATATAATATTTGTATACACCTAATATACACAACTGAAACAAACTAAAAAAAATGAGTCAAAAACACTAAACTATAACCTATGACTTCTTTTGTGCAACCTTATGTATAGTTATTGTAGTTTTCTTATTTCTTTGTTTTGTCTTCTTCACTATTTCTTGTGTGCGACCTTATGCAACAAGTGTCCCATAAATTGCCTCACTCAACACGATTCGACATAAATCAACAGAACGTGGCATAACTCACCAGGTACCCACTAAGAACTTGACGAAATTATCTAATAAAACTTTTTTGGCCAAAATTATGACCCCACTGTTCCAAAATTCTGGTTCCGTCACTAACGGCCACTACCGGACTTTTCCACACGGTAGGCGGATCTGCCATGGCTGGCTTCATCCCACCCTTGGCGGACCGCATGCCTAACATATTTTTGGGCCTTAATTCCTACCAATCACATGGGCCCAAAATATTAGACCCAAGCTACTATCTAAGCCCATCAGAGACAGAGAAAATGTGACCGTTGAGAGAATAAAATAAACGGCCAGAAAATGGGACCGTTTGGAGAAAAAGTTACCGTTGCCAGCAAACCCTCAGCGCTCTCAGGCTCTTCCCAACAAATATAAATACCTCGGAATCCTGCATCTCCCTCCACCAAAAGCAATCGATACTAATCATCTCTCTCACTTACTCGCTCTCTCTCACTGCAAAATCTCAAGCTTTCTCTCTCTAAATTTCAATTACTTTGTTAAACTCACTTTCTGCATTTTGTTTTTCTGCAATTTCGTTTTTTTTTATCTTTTGAGCTTCGATTTTTAAGCATTTCTGTACCAATGGCCGGAATGAAAGATGCCCACATTGTCGAAATCCCAGTAGATGAAGAGCATCAGCAGAAGCTCTCGTCCGCCTTGACCATCATTTCCGCAAACCAACACCACCCACTAATGGAAATCTCTGAATCCCCCGGCCATCTCTTGCTCCTCAAGCTCTGGCGAAGGGAAGAAGACCTTTTCGCCAGGCGCATTGCCGGAAAGGAGTCCAGAATGGACTCCATCCGCCGTGAAATCTTTCAGCTCTGCTGCTTTTTCTTGATCTTTCACGGGTTCTTCACCACCATCCTGTTCACGTCTTCGGTTAACAAATCCGAAGACCACGTCTGTCCCAAATGGTGGATACCGAGCGTTTTGTCACTCTCGACCTCTCTTGTATTTGTGTTTTTGGTGCAGGTGAATCTTTGGAGGTACTGGAAGGTGTGGAACCAGTTGCAGAGGGCCAAGGGCGAGAACAGAGCTCTCACTAGGTCTATTCAAGAGCTGAGGATGAAGGGGGCGAGCTTCGATTTGTCGAAGGGGCCGCAGATCGGGAAGAGGATGAAGAGCTCGAGCGTTGAGATCAAATGGAAGCCACTGACTTGGTGCTCTCAGTATCTCATTACGATCTGCCTTGTTTGCTTTGCAGGTTTGATGTTTCCTGTTTCGAAACTCATGCTCTGCGGATTCTGAAGATGTGAGCTTGGAGGTGTTTGCTAAGCTGAGAATGGTAGCATTCAAGATGTCGCAGAAGCTGAAAGGGAAAGACAGGCGGCAGAAAGCGATCCTTCAAACCAGCCGGCCAGCGGAGATCAACACAACTGACCTCAGATGGGTTCTTCCATCAATCTCCTGGCAATTACTCAACTCTTTCCATCAAGCACTCACCAGTGACCTGATCGGAGTCTTCATTCAACAATTGGGAAGCCTGTAGAAAGCGATCCTTCGAACCAGACAACCAGCGGAGCTGAACACAATTGACTTCAGCCGGTCACTTTTTCTGTCAACCAGTCACCGATGATCTAATGTTTTGCTGCTGCAAAATCACCCTTTCTTCAATGTCCAAAAGGAGAAGGGGGGATGAAGCATCTTTGGTCCGATTACCAGCCAGACTCATTCGCACAACCAAATTATACTATACTCCTCTTCGGCTACTCATTCGAGATGAAAGAGCGGAAACAGACATTTCATCTCCTACACTTCTTCTGAAGCCTATTGCACTCACTCAAACAACGAAATTATACGCCCTTTTCTGGCTCTGTTCGCAAATCTAGCCAGATCAAGGGGGCACTGCTTACACTCTCCTCTCTTTGTACACGTGATTATATATCAATTCAATGTTAACTTCTCATAATTCATTCAATACAGCAATACAATTGTGTCATACTACACACTTTTTATCGAGAATAAAATTGTAAATCTATATCGCGCGATACTTGTTTTCAACAATATGAAAGTTTAGAATCAAATAAATTTACTTGAAAGTCCGCACGGAGCCTCGTCTTGAAAATAGAACTGTCAGCATAGTCGTTCTTTTGAACGTAATGTAAGTTCAGAACCACACGACTAACACATGCACAAGACTGCTCCATTTACAAGCCAAAAGAGAAGCGCAAAGCTTAGGTTGCACTTTTGAAGCCAAATATCCTAAAAACACCTGCGACAAATTAACGTAACCACGCATCAGTTAAATTTGCCTTGTGTATATGATTGAGCTTAGCGGAAGAAGGAAACGGCAATACCTTCATCGGTTTGGTATTTGTTCTTGTCATCTCCAGCATATGCAAGTAGATTGGATTTGGGATTCCACTCAACGCTGTTCATGGCAGCCCTACATGGAATTTGATGTACTGTCCGGCCGGTTTGCAAATTTGACTGTTTTATACAGCAGCAATATCATCATTACTACTATTTTCAGGTCGGCATAACAAAAGATGGATTTCATAGGAATGACCTAGCTACATTATTTATCAAAAGAAAGTACTTCACAGAACATATATCTTATTTAAAAAAACAAAGATAAGATGGACTAAGCTAGAAAACAAAGTCACTGTACAGTGAACAGATGGTAGCCCTTGTAACCAGACATCCTCCCTCAGGGAGAATGTACTTGGAAAGATAAAAGGCAGGAGTGGTAAGCCACATATGGCACTTACTATATCAATGAATAAGTCTTCACTGGCAGATGCAAGATACTCTCCAGTGTGGTTGAAGCTTATTGTCCTCACAGGCGATCTGAGAAAGGTACGAAAAGAGGTCGTTCAAGGACTAGATATGCTTATGATTAAAGTCCACCCGACAAACTAGTTATCCAATAACTGCAGGGTTAGAAGAAATACAATTGAATTCTACGGGAATATTCATGGTAGAACTTACTCAAGTTTTGGAAATGTTTTCACACAGAGCATCTCTGAGATATCCCACAGGCTCACCAAGGAATCAGCACTCCCAACAGCAAAATATCTGTCAAGGTACAAAGAGCATTAGAAAGAGTACAAGGCAAGCAGGTCTTCCTGTGACAGTGCCAAGAGAATATTTTGGACAAAAAAATAAATAAATAAAGGGGTGTGATATCCACACACCCCTTTTTACTTCTCTCACACCTTTTTGGTTTTCGGCCGTCGGATCGGATGAATTGAAGAAGTTAAACGGATAGAAATTAACAAGGAGTGTGTGAGAAGTAAAAAGGGATGTGTGGATAGCACACCCCTAATTAAAACTAAATAAATTGAGCATATAACCCTTTTTTATAGTGATTGGATCGATGATGGTGGAGTTAAATAGGCAGCACCAACTAATATAGCAAGTTAATAGTCCAGATGACATCAAAAAGCGTTATTTTTCTCTCTTAAATAATTTAAAAGATAATACATCTTTGTAGCAAACCTTCCAAGTGGGTCGATGGCAATGCAATAACACCCAGCCGTATGAGCCATGAGGGTGTCAACTGGTTTAAGAGATGGGTATGCTAGTACTTCAACCGTACCTGAGCAAAAGAATATATAATAAAATATCCATTCCAAGTTCCAACATATAGAAAGAAATGAGATTACTTAAAGACAGTTTTTCTCACCGTTTCCAGTCGTCAAGAAGAAAATTTCACTTGTTGTGCTCCAAGCAATTTCATTAACCTGGAAAATTAGAAGGCTGTCCAATAAGTATTTAAGGTACAGAGACAGATGCTATAAACAGGATTAGGGGGTATCCCTTGTACTAGGATGAAGCAATAGGCGGAACGATCGCACAAATGGTTTACAGATAAGTTACACATGTTTTCACAACTATGAATCAGTCATACTACTTAAGTTAGTGGCTCCACTGGCAAAAAATCATTGAAAACATAATCATGTGGATACAGAATAGTAAAGTCAATTTTTTTGAAAAAAAATTAAAAAGCACCAATTTTCAACGAAAAAGAATGAATTTGGGTTGACAATTTCTGAATTTCATAAATTTTACGACTTCAACACCACCATGAAAAGAGAGGAGATATGATTAACATCAAATGTGTGGACAAACCGATTTTGTGATTTGTGTTCTACAACCATATGCTCTTAAAGTCAGTCTAACGTTACATATGAAGATCATACAGAAATTGAATGACTTCTCAAGGTTAAGCATCACAGTTTTTTTGAAAAGCCTCACGCTGATGAGACAATAATAGCTAATCATCATACGAAATGTGAAATAGAAGGGGGAACGGGTAAAAATATCCATTTTGATAATTACCTCATAATTGAACTTTCGCTTGTGAATTGGCTTAAACTTCCGAACATCCAAAATTGTTAGTTCATCATCCTACATTTGAACAAGGGGCAAAAATACAGCTTAAGAACAGCAACAAATAGCTATTAGCTACTGATACCCACCACTCAGAATTCCACAGAATGAAGTTACTGAACCAGAAACTGCACAAACCCGTGGAACGGAGGTTTGGAACAAGTCAACATTACCCTATTACCAACGGCGATGTGCGTCCCATCAGGTTTATAGGTGATGTTAATGTTCTCCCCACTAAGTTCTGCTAGCTGTGCACATTTTCCACCTGAAGCACCCACATAGAGATAACATCAAATTCCCATCTTTGTACCTAAAAAACGAAAAAATAAAAACTTGAAGGAGCAATGACTCACTCCGAGCATCCCAAAGACGAACCGTCTTGTCCCCAGAGGCAGTGGCAATTAAATCAGCATGCTTGGGGTCCCAACACAGCTGATCCACACTATCTGTGTGCCCCTTCAATTCAATATCTTTAGCCTTACCCTGTAACATATATAAATAGATATACATAAACATAAATATAACTCAGATAAAACCTATGAATTTATTGGAAATTTGAATAAATTAACTGGAAAGAGCTGAGCTTTACATGTCCATGGGGCTCAACGTGCCAAACCCTAGCAGTTTGATCAACAGAACCCGACGCGAGCTTCGTCCCCGTGCAGTTCCAAGCCACAGAATGCACCTTATCAACAAAGAAACGAACAAATTTAGCAAATTGAAAACGGAAGCAAGAGATTTAGGGTTTTGTGGAGATTGCGATTGGATTACGAAATTTAGAGAGAGAGGGGAAGAGAGAGAGCACTTTCTTCTTGTGGCCCTGGTACTCTCTGCTACTGAGATTCTTAAAGGGTATTGCGGGTTCCTCCGTTTCTGCCATTGTTGGCGAGCTTCAAGGTCGAAATGTTTACTTTCGCTGTTACTAGTAGCGGGTAGAGAAATCAGTCCCTCCAGTGGATTCAGTTTCAGTTCGTTTTTTTTGTCAAAACCAAAATTTCGCTTTGGTTTGGTTTGAATTTTTTTTTTTCCGGTTTTATTTTTTTTGTTCGGTTTCGACTTGTTTTCGATTTTTTTAATTTTTTTTTATTTTATAAAATTTAATCTATTTTTAATATGAAATTTAGAAGAGATGCTTGCACTGGTAGACTAATAATAAGAAAATAGAGAAAGTGAGAAAGTAGTTGTACATATACAAGATCGTATAAACCAATCATATTCAATCAGCAATCTCAATTGCAAAGAAAAATTATAATTGTACCCATTCCAAAAGCAAACAAATAAAGAAGTTATTCCAAGTTCTAAATCCTTCCAAAACTTTCTTCTATAACCAATGGAATATCCTCCCTAGTTGAACTAAATATGCTCCTTGAAGGCTTAGTTTGGAACTTGGCTACAAAGTTTGACAAAAGAAACATAATGGGCATACATCCATAAAGTGTAAAGGGATTCAGTTTGGTTCGATTTCCGAACTTCCAAAACCAAAACTGAACCACTAGGGTTCGGTTCGGTTTGATTTTTCCTTTTTCGGTTTTTTTTTTTTCGGTTCGGTGTTAGTTATGGTTTTTTTTCGATTTTTTGAACCCACCCCTTCCTCCAATTACATAAAAAAGGCCCATCTTACTTTCTTTTTCATTTTTTATACAGCGACATTTACATTAAGAATGTTGATGAATAAATTGATATCGTCATCATGATATTTGAATTTAAAACTTCTCATTTAAAGTTGATTATAAGACTTAGCTCACTATCTCATTCTTTAATGTAAATAATATCGTTTATTCAAAAATAAAAAAATAAATAAAACTTCTCATTCAATAATACATTATTGGACAGATACATCGGAGTGATCGTAAATCTATTTCGGATAAGTCACTTTTGTACTTTGGCTATTGTACTTTGGCTATTGTAATTTGTTGGAATTGTTGAGCAATATTTACCGAGTATTGATATGTAAAACTACACATATTTCTTAGCCTCCAATTTATACATTTAATTTGGCATACTGCATAACAACCACCTTATCAAAAGATTCATAAAATGTAAATGCAATATCATCTACCTAAGTACAACGTCCATCGTATTCTCCCCTACTCCATCAAGTTCTATGATCCATCATTCTACAAAGACTTCTCAAAACCTAACACCATCGGCATTGAGTGGTAAGTAGAGCAATTGAGCTCTAACGTATTGAGAAAATTTTCAGTTTGTTGAGAATACAGTCGGTTACAACAAGTGTTATAATACAAGTGTTTGGAAAATAAATAAAAAAATTTGGCAAATTATACAAAACTACTTCAACTTTGAGTCAAACCACAATTTCATACATCATGTTTTAAACATTGAAATGTCATTCCTCAACTTATGAATTCGATGCAATGTGAGACCTCTGTCAGGTTTTTTGTTAATTTGGCTGTTAAATGATGATGTGGCAAACAATGCAGGTTCCGTGGATGCAAAAAGAGCGGGCTTATGGCACACAAAATGATGTAGACACCTCACTTGCATAACGAGGCAAACCTAGGCACATAAGATGAAGTAGGCTGTGAACATGCAAAACGAGGCGGACTCCCGAGTGCTTAGAAAATGAGTCGGGCTCCACATACAGAAAAATATATTTTGAAGAATATGAATATGATAGTTTGTCGTAGTGGTACGAGAAATAAAAGAAAAATGTACAAAAATGATTCAAATTGTTGAGGGTGGCAGAAAGTCACGCATGACTTTCTGGCACCCCAAGAATTTCAATCATTTTTGTTAGTTTTACTTTTATTTCTCTTACTACTATGACAAACTATCATATTCATGTTCTTCAAAATATATTTTACTATGCAAAATATTATAATTCGTATTTAAACACTTGTAATAAAGGATTTAAAACTTAAATGTAAAGATATTTGAACCCGACATTCACCTCTCCCAGACCCTGCGTAAAGCGGGAGCCTTATGCACTGGGTACGACCTTTTTTTTTTTTATCCAAATTTAAACTACATATTAACAGAAACTTCTTTTTCAATCAAAAGAGAGTGAAAAACTATTTAACAAAACAAAATTTTGATATTTTTTGTTTAATCCTCACGTGATTTTAACATCGCTAATTTAAAAAAAAAAATTGTTTTCGCCTTCTGTGTCAAATGGAAGTTCTTCTTTCGGCTTTGAACCCCAATCCTCATTGTCCACAATGTGTTGCGAGACGTCAAATTTTACCATGATTTAATTTACTTTATTCAATAGTTTTACTTGTTACATCTTTTGTCCAACTAATATATCCATTCGAATATCCACTGGGATTGGAAAGATACAAGTTTTGTTAAGAACTAATTCGTCTTTTATCTTCAACATTGACTAAAATTTCGACGATTGCAAAAATTACCAATTTACACGCTATTGGTGGGAATGGTTGTAATATTTACTGTCCACCTTGTGCATTTTTTTGTTCCACAATGATTGATAAGTATAGCATTACTCTTCATTAAATTGATGGACCTAATCAATTTTTGAGTTAACGTGTAAGTTAAATTTAAACCATAGGAACCAAAATTAGTCACCATATAGCTTTTCCTTTATCTTAATTAATATTTCGTATTTTGAAACGACAACTGTTAAGGATAAACAACGTTAATTGACTCTTTTAAAAGTTGAACTCTTTATAGACTCTCTTCACTCTATGTTCCTGACAAAGTATTTTATTATATTGACACGATAATTAACGTCTGTGAAATGAAAGACGGTGATCGACAGGTTCACTTTTGAGGGAGTTTTACTTAACTAAATTAAATTGAACATTAAAAATACAAACATGTAAGAAAAACAAAAGGACCAAGCAGGCAGCAGCCACTGAAGCCTTCCCACTGATCAACCCCGCGAGCCACCGCGTCGCCGACGGCGACAACTTTTCTCACTCTCCCTAACCGCCAGAAAAATCAATGTCAAATTCTTCGCCGGTTGGATCCCAATCTCAACAATTCAGTGACAGCAGCTTCTCTCGCACCTTCAAGTACTTACTCGGTCAGTCTCTCTTCCCCAATCTCCCTCTCTCTCTATCTCTCTCTCTCTCTCTCTCTCACTAACCCAAGGTTGAAGATGATCGATGTAAATTGATAATTTAACCAGCTACCCAATTCTTGTCGAGGGGAATCCCATTCATATTCAATGCGTGGATCGTCAGACACCTCTCAGTCGAGGACTTTGCGGTAACAATCTCTCTTCAAATTTCTCCATATCTTACTGCGTTTCTAATATTTTGCATTAGATTTTTGTCTACTTTGCATCTTTTGATATCTTTTCGGTTTCTGATTCGGATTTCGCGATAACCCACGCGGAAAATTTGTAAACTTTAGCTTGTTAATTGTTCTTCAATCAAATTGAGCAATAACCCACATGAAAGATTTATACTTTTGGTTGTTATTTGCTCTACAACTGAATTGGATGATTGGTTTTTAGTTTCCATTTGATTGGGAAACCATAGCGGTCTAATTGTGAGCTCACTTTCGCATGTTTCTATATCTTTTTGGCTTATGCTTCGGATGTGCAGAATAGTCCACATGGAAAATTTATGGATTTTAGTTTGTTATTTGTTCTACAACTGGATTGTGTGATAGTCCAATCTCATACTGTACCAAAACTCTAGCAATCCAGTCCAATCAAGTGTGAGGCTTATATGCTTGGAGGTTGTGTTATTGTTGTCGGTAATGATTGGGTTTGGTTTCTGTTTGATTGGAAACGATAAAATAGTTTCAGTGTGAGCTTACTTTTGTACAATTTTCTCTCTTTTGATGCAGCTTTATGGAGTACAATTTCCTCTTTTTGTCACCTGTGTATTGTTTCTGAGTCGGGAGGGAGTTCGGCGAGCATGCCTGCGCGCAGACATGAAACGGTGCTTTCTTCGTTCTCATAGAAATGCATTTATTTGTACTAACTAAGGAGCTGTAATTCTTATGTATTATGCTACAGTGATGGTGCGTCGACAGAAGAAAATATAGCAAAGATAATGAAATTTGCTTGGTTGATTCCCCCATGTGGAATTCTTCTTACTGTTGCAGCGTGCACTGTTGTCTTCTGGAATAAAGACTTAAGCTTTTCTAATCCATATGGACAAGCGATCTTAATTAATGGTACATTGCTATATCTTGTTTTCTGTTTGAAAAATTTATATGTTGTTGCTGTTGCTTCTCTTCAATTATGGAGATTTTTCACTTATAATTTTACTCATTTACAAAGCATTTGAGAATAGGGTATATGTTTGGTTTTCAAGTCCAATTGTGATTTTTGAATCATTAGTATTGGTTCAGTACTTTTACAAGTAAAATCTGTTTATGAAAATCATAAACCTTTTCACCTTGCTTGATTGGATTCCTTATTTCAGTTTTCATTTTAATGTGTCGCTGACACAACATTTTCATGTGGCAGGCCTTGCATGTATTTTTGAACTTTTGGCAGAACCCTTGTATATCCTTTCCCAGAACTTGCTTTTGCTTAAATTAAGGCTAGTAGTTGAAACAGTTGCCACTCTTTTCCGGTGCATAACGATGTTCATTCTCATTGTCAAGCAAACTGACATGGTAAGAGCTTTAATCAAATTATTTTGGCAATCATGATTATTTCTTAACATGTTCGTTTTGTCATATGCACCTGTGAAGCAGTGTTGTGTTGATCTTATTTGCTTCCCTTTTGTAGTTTGCTTTCATGTGGTGATGCACTTTGCTTCCTTAACCAGTAGGGTTATGGTTTAGTGGAACCATCTTATTGGTTACTGAACATGGAACAAATCTTGTAGTAACTTATTAACCCATTATCCATGTTAAAGGACAATGAGGAAATAAACTGTAATTATACTATAGTAACAGATTAATAATGAATGTAGGCACTTCTCCATAGCCCAGCATATAAGGCTAGAAAAACCACTGAAGTCCTCTCTTGGTAAGGATTTAATTTCTGGAACAGGGAGGCGATAATAAAATGAGCAATTACATATAGGAATCGAGTTGTACAGTTAGAAGTGATGCTTCTAATCAAGCCTACTTAAGGGTGGTTATCAGTCGACCTTGGGACCTGGATGTGATGACATGAGCACGTGAGCAGCATTCCATTATATAATTCACCATTTCCATTTGTTTTATGACATGTAGTTAATCTCTTTGTAGGTTGGAAATATTTGTTTAGTACCGGTTGTTTACTTATTTGGTAGTTATAATATTTTATCCACTTTAACTCAAAATAAAACTAATAGATTATTTGGTTTATGGCATTAGTTCCACTTCTAATTACGAACGGTCAATTGCTTGGTTGCAGGAGAAAGCAATTGTATTTACATTGTCACAAACTGCCTATGGAGTGTGCTTGTTCCTAGGTTATTGGGTCTACTTCCTCTTTTTTGCTGCATGTAGAAGTACTGCTCTTTTCCCCTTCAGGTATTTTGTATTTACTTCTAGCTTTACATTACTTTGCTTTTTGTAGGATGATAAATTAGCATTTTTCGGTTATACCAAGACGGAGAGAATTGTTGAGATGAAGTGTGGTTGCAATCTCTTTTAGAATGGATTTTTCTCATGAAGAAATATAGGAATGCATAAGATATGGTGGCTCTTGTGGTCATCACGGTATTTGTTGTATTTGACTACAGAAAAAACAAATTATTTATTTTTGGCAAGACTCTTATGTAGAATGTTCTTGTTGGTCCTGGGCTTATCTGGAGGCATTTAGGCAACAATGCCTTATGTTGACGATGAATGGTTTTCATGGTAGCTAGTTGTATATTACATTTAAGTTCTGAATCATCAAAATTGTGTACTTGTGTAGTTGAGTGGAATATTATCATTTGTATATTCTTCATTCGTCAGTATTTTTTGTCTTATTCATATGTATTGAAATTACAACCGGTTGGCTTAGCAGAAAGGATACTTCGATAAGCAAATCTTTCTAATTAATCTTGTGTTTATTATCAATGTGCTTAGTTGATTGCTTGATGTTTTCAGTGTAAAGAATAAGAAGGATTATGATAGGGAGCTGTCAGACATGTGTAAGCTGTTTACGCTTCAATCCTTTGTGAAGTTGATCCTTCAAGAAGGACAAAGTCTTATCCTTTTATGGTGGGCGACATATTATAACCAAGCTGTGTATGGGCTTGTGGATAAATTAGGTAATTATCTGGTCCAGAAATTTAGTCATGGTCACTTATCACAATAAGAGCTGATTTTGCTCTGAGACTACTTCGATAGAGAAATATGGCATTAATTTTGGATTTACTTTTTTTATTTTTAATTTTTTTTTTAATTTATTGCATATCAGGGAGCCTAGTGGTCAGGATGGTGTTTCTTCCTTTTGAAGAAAGTTCCTATGCTACATTTGCAAGGTCTGCATCAGGTTTACTTTTCTCCTCTATTTCCTTTATGGTTTATTTTTATTTTTTTTATGCAGGATACAGTGTTGTCTTTAATTTGAGTTAGCCTCTTTCTGCGTTTTGTTTTTAGCCATTCGAGTTACAGATGATCTCCACATTCAGTTCACATTTCAAATTGGTTTTGTATCCATGGTGCTTCTCCATGGTTCCATTAAGAGTCCAAAATTATACTATCTTGAAGTCAATTGCCATTGTGCTTGCTGCTTAAAATAAAATTACATTGTACAGGGTTCAGTGCTTACAAACTTTAATTTTCTTCTAATTTCGTCAACAGGAAAAGACCCTGATAAAGACAGGCGGTTAGGAAGTAGCCTTACAGAGGCCCTCAAGTTGGTTTTGTTAATAGGTGCGATGTGTTTCCACTTCCTCTTTCTATCTGTTTTATTCAAGTAATTATATTGTGAATAGGTATGTACATAGTCTTGATCCAGCAAGTAAATAAGTACATAAGTAGTTGAACTGTAATAGCATCTTAGTCCTATAGATCAAATATTAGTATATGTCATTTACAATGAACAGAGTCCAAGGGACTCAAACAACTTCGAAATATCTTTGGAAAAAAAAGAAAAATTTGCAAAGTCAATATGTTGTAACAGACAAGATCAAGATATTGAGAACACTTACATTGTTCTTTGGTTTTATGGCCAAATGAGTAAATTAGAGGACCCCCTCTGCTTGGGATTTCCACGGCTGTGAGTTTTATTTCTCTGTGACCGTTTGATAATCCTGGTGATCAAGTGATTTTGTATTTTTTTAGGAAGGTTGAGGTTTATTATTTTATTGTATATGTGTTTTATGGCGTTTGAGGTTCTGATTTTCTCACATTGCTTGGATATCCTGTAGGTCTTGTATTCATGGTGTTTGGCCCGAGTTATTCTTATTCTCTCATCAGATTGTTATACGGTCGGAACTGGAGTGATGGGGAAGCATCATCAGCCCTTCGATATTATTGCTTTTATATAATAGTTTTGGCGATGAATGGTGAGTGATGTTCTGGCTCTGCATGTCAATATACATAGGTGTATATATTATGGTCTTTCACTTGCAACTGTTTTACATAGCAACCACCAAAACAAAGAAAGTAACAAATACATAAGTGGAAGATTGAGCGAATTCATTGGCTCACGCTTTTTATATTTTCGGTTTCAAGGGACTTTCTGAATTCTTTAGTCAGTTACCAATCATAGTAACAAATACATAAGTGGAAGATTGAGCAAGTTCATTGGTTGTGAAATCCTCGAAGTCTACTTCTCTTTGGATGATGAATTCCCTTATTTTAAAGTAAATGAGTACCTAAGATTCATGAGTGATATACTTGTCTATTAAGTTGTAGTAAGGCTGCTAGGTTCCAAGAAACTAAACGGTGGTATCTGGTAAAACAATAAATCGTGCACACATCCATCGACAAATCGAATAAGGTTTTTCATTGGAGCTGGCACCCCTTTTAGATCATTGATATTTTTCAGATATTTGATTCGCTTTCTATGTAATCAGTCATAGGTGGCCTGGTGATAACTTAAAGATCTTATTGCTCTTCCTAAAAAGTATCAAGTGAGAACTTAGATTGTGCTTTGATTTTGCATCAGGAACTTCTGAAGCATTTCTACATGCCGTTGCAAAGGAGAAGCAACTCGTACAGTCAAATCTGTCGTCGTTTCTGTTCGCATTCATACATATAGTGCTGAATATCCTGCTGATAAACTCAGCTGGTGCAGTCGGCTTGATTTTGGCAAATTCATTAAGTATCCTTTTCTTGGTTTAGGCAGTTTTCTTAAGGTTCGTTGTGTTTCTTTCGTGTTTTTTTAATTAAAGAAACTGCTTGTTTTTCTTTTACAAATAGCACCTGCAATATTTTTGTTAGAAGAGTAAGAACATAAGGTTGCTGCATGTGCTATGTACTGTGTATAAAACTCACAATACACAAGTATGTTCATCTAACTTTTTGTCTACAATAAATGTTACATAAGCGCGGTTGATCAGAGAGTGATTACCATAATGTGTTACGGCATTTAAGTTTATCAGTTCTAGTCTCTGCTTTCTTGACATGGTAAAGACATGATTCTGAGAATCATCTACTCGGGGATATTCATCAAGCATCATTTCCAGGTACACTGTTATTTATTTTGTTCTTGCAAGTTTCATTGATGTTTTTATCCTTGTAAGTACTGATTTCTTCTCTCTCCACAGGATTCTTCCACGTTTTCTTTTTACAGATGTTTACCTTCAGGATGGAAGGTGCTATTGTTTTCGGGAATGACAACTACTATTTCTGAGAGAGTATTCCTGGACCGGGAGAATTTCTTGCCGACCTTTTTGGTTCATTTTTCCATTGGTGTTGCTTGCTTCTGCATGTCGTCGTTTGTTATGTATGTTCTTGTGCCCTGCGTTCACGCTGAAATTTTCGTTTCACGCTGTCCTAGTTACTTCGCGCACGAGGATGTTAATCACGTGTTTTGTTTCTATATTCCTCAACAGATACCGCCGTGAGAGATCCTTCATCAACAAAATCATCCGCTTCCGTGATCACACAGACTAAACAACAGACTTTTCTTGATCCGCCTACGTACAGAGTGTAGTCTTTAGCTGCTAACCGATCTACAACTTCTTACAAGCATATCTGGGTATCTGAATTCTGGATTCCGGCGCAGCAAACACAACAGGATGTGGAAGTTGCAGCCATGTATTACGAAGAAAAACAGGTTCTGGATTATAGACAAGTCACCATTGGAGCCCAAATAGTAGGAATTTTCGGAAAAATATAAACCGAAAAGATTTAATTTAGTTCGTATGTTAGAATTTCAAAGCATAGAGATGTAGTTTGTCAGTTAAATTCGGTTTCTTGAGAACTAGGGTTACTGCAATTGCTCTTTCATATGGTGATTGTTTTGACTTTTATCCATGATCAAGTTCAAATATTACGGGAACTTTAACGAAAAGCTCACGGTACTGTTAACTTTAACGAAAAACCACATTTTTACACAAAAAAATCAATCATGATACTATTCATTTTACTCTTTATTTAGTTCTTATCGTTAAATTTTTAAGTCATTTTCATTAGTTTTTCTAATATTATGACAATGAGCATGGTAGGGTGGCTAAACTATGATTTCGGTCCATGTCGTTTGGGTGAAGTTATTTTTAGCTCTTGTAGTTTCAATTGTCGCAATTTAAGTTATTGACGGAATTAAGTTAATGTCCTTAAATTGCGGAAACTATGAGAACTAAAGCGAAAATTCGACACAACCTACGGAGATCAAAATCATGATCGTTTGATAAAATAATTGAATGACACATTAAGACTAGAACTTGGCCAAAAAATCTTCGTTAATTAGTCTAAACATACCTACTTATAAAATATGAAATTGTTTTTTTTTTCTTTAAAAAATGAATTATTGGATGGTATTATTGCATATAATTTTGCTTTTTTGTCATAATTTGTATGGAATATCATGTATAGCTACAATATTAAAATATCAGAAATTTGGAAACTCATTTGCCTTACGCAACATAAATATCATAGAATTGATTGAATCCGGATTCTCGCCGGATCCTCTTTGTGAAGATCTCAGAAATTTGTGAATCGTCTCTGTTTATCATACATTTTGCAGTCAGAAATCATTTTAAATATTTTTATTTTAACACAAACAGTATCTGATAAAAATTAATATACGATGAACAGACACAATTTACAGATTATTAGGATTCTGTTGGGAATTGATAGGACCCTATATAAAAATAAAAAATAAAAATAAAAAATAAAAATTGAAATGTCAATAGAATGTGGGTCTGAATTGTTACACGTGGCCATCTCAAGGTTTCAAGTTTTCATGGTTGAGAGTCTTGAGACTAAAGTGTCCATTTATTGCCAACTTCCGGATTGGATCTTCTGCGTCCAAAAGTTAATTTAACGTGTTAATTTTTGAACTTATCCTTTTTAATTAAAAAATTAAAAAATAATTAAGTTAATATCACTCAAGTAAAGTAATTCATAAAAGACAGTTAAGAGTTTGAGTACGGAAGATTTAAACTCTAACCAATATTTTAGTGGTGTGAAAATAATAATAGAATTAGTTTAAGTGAGCGATTTTGAAATCGTTGACTGTTAAGATGTTTATTAATACAGTAATCGTTGACTATTAGTATTGATAAGTTCACGTATCATGATATGAGTTTATATTCAATAATAATTACTAGAAAAATATAATTGCTCTTCAGGGAAGACTTTTGCCCCGGATTATTCTTGTAAGGGCTCAGATTGCAGTTGTTGCCATGGTAAAAAAATACCGACTCTATTTTTCTATATTTTCAAATAAAGAGAATTAGTATATGATTTATTCAAACCTGTCACCTATATAAAAATGAAGCATAATTATTTTCGGATGAGTAGCGGCCGATTTATCTCATGACTCATTTTTAGGTTAAAAAAATTAAGAAATCAACATCTAGGTAATTAATTGAATTAGATCCAAAGTTTATTTTTTTTACTTCCCAAGAGAAAGAAAGTTACTGCGTAGTGATAGTGGTACTGGCGACGGTAAAAAGTAAAAAAAATCAGTTCAAGTACAAATGAAAATCCACCGACGCTGAGACCTGGACTGAAAGAGATTTCAGGGAGGGAGAGAGAGAGAGAGAGAGCGTCTGGTCGGGAATCGCGATCGCCCCACCAGCCGGCCTCAGACCTACACAGAGAGAGTCACCTCCGACGACCAGAAGAAGAAGAAGACGATCGGACGGCTGAGAGGCGCTATGGAAATGATGTCATCATCGGGCGGTGGAAGGTACATGGCTTACTCGCCTTCACCGTCGGCACCTCACTCCCCTCACCTCTCCGGCCTTCGCTCCGCCTCCTCCTCCGCCGCTCTCGTCGCCGCCGAGCAAGAAAAGTATGCCCCTTTAGATCTGTTCACGGTTTCTCGATTCCTCTTCAGTATGAAACCGTAATTTGATTTCTCGATTTTGTATGAACCCTCATCGATGTCGTTTTATTGATGTGTATATATGTATATATATGTTGCAGATATCTTTCTGAGCTGCTTGGCGAGCGTCACAAGCTGTGTCCATTTTTGCCAGTGCTGCCGAATTGCAACAGGTTACTAAACCAAGGTCAGTTTCGATCTTTGAATTGAGCTTGCCTTTGTCTATAAGAACTGATTTTATTGGTATATATGCATGTATAAATGTGGAGGCTCTGCGATCAGTAACTGATCGACCCGAATCACAATTCATTTCACTCGATTTGAGTAACTTTGCAGGTTGTTGAGGTACATACCCTATTAATCTAACATGATTGAACTAAGTAAGCATTTACGAAACACTTGATAACCCACTTTGTATTTAGTTTAACTTGGTGGTACGCGCTAGGGTCGTAGAGATGTTAATGGTCCCGCTAATCCAATTTGTTGGAGTTGGGTTTGCACGAATCGTCACCTGATATCGTTTAGCTCGAGCTGATGTTGTATTGCATGGCTGGGATAGAGTTATTGAAGACATCACTTGCTTGATTAGTTTGGAATGCCAATTCCATCTCAAAATTTATTACAACTGAAAAGTATTGAGGTGGTGCACATATCACAAGCAACTGCTTTTGCATATGAAGCAAAAACAATTCGATTACAATGTTAATCGATTAGAAATTCTTTTCATTGCATTGCATCTGTTTTGGCTCCTAGGTTCTTTACATACCACAGAGGTAGGATATAGGTTGCCTTGTTTAGTCTGACTTGGTGTTCTACTTTTAGTTCTCGGTATCTCTTGCAAACCTTGTCTTTTAGTTCAAGATTGAGGAAAGTCTCATTTTTTAGACCCGAAAAAGAGGACAAACCAATATCTTGTCTTTACCAGTGGGAAAATGCTGACATAACAGGTTTTGGGTGTTTTACATTAATTAGAGGATAACAATAAATAAACCTGGTCCTCCTATGTAAAGTGATACATACAATGTTCCATGGTCTTTGGATATTTATGGTGGGGCCTTCCTTTTCAGATGCCTAAAGAATACAAGACCACCTGTCCAAACCAAAAGGTATGAGCCTTTTTAAAGTATAGATTTATGACCCGTAGTTTATATTGGGATTCCATTACTAGCAAATTTAGATACCAAGTTCCTAGCTGAGGACATAGCTTGATCCATAAGTTTTCGCTTTTCTTTTGGGAGTACTTCTTTCTAGGTAATTGTACTCTTTTTTTTTCGTCTCTCGCAGAGGAGTCCAAGTTTCTGCTTATTGTTGTTAGATTGGTAATATTTACATTGATTTCTCAGGTTTAAGTGGTTTGATGACCTCGTCTCAGCCAAGTGGTGGTGTTTGGTGGACGTGTATTCTTTTCTGGTGTTTCGTGCCTCTAGTTACTTGGGTTCTCATGTATAAGTTTCCGGCTTCTGTAGTTTGTATTAATTAAGTTTTAAGGATTCGTGATGGTGTTCATAACTATCTTACGAATAATAGGCTTCTTTTCTTTATTAACTTTTCATTACTTTAATGGTAGTTTACACTTTTAATAATTTTATTACTTTGGGGAAGCATTGATTTAACTGACTCAGGAAAAAATCTTTGTTGTCTCTCCATTTTGTGGTGACTACTAACCTTATAACCAATGCTAACTGGTACATCTTATTCTTGAAAATTGACATTTTTGGAGCAGAAATATTGCGTGTAACTACACTGTTGGGGAATGCGTCAGTTTTAGGTCAAAGTGGGATTGAACTTGCTAGCCCCCTGGCATCTAGAGGAATGTTTTCAAATGGAGGTGCTGATGTGAATGGATGGGCATCACGTTTTCAATCAGAAGTACGGATACTAACCATTAACTTATTAACTTAACATAACATTGTTTTCTGTCTAATTTTACTTTTACTAGAAGCATTGCTGACACGATCCTTTACATCTCATGCTAACCTTTAAGATTTGTTTAGGTGCTGCAATTTATATTGCCACTTTTGAGACAGGTAGTCTGAAGCTAACATCAACAAGCAATACTAATTAGCTTTGCTTCTGGAATCCTACTTCAATTAAGATGGTTCTCTCTTCATTCTGTCTGTCTTTGTCAAGACGAACTTAATTTGATTTTATAACATATTATCAAATTTTACATTTGGCATAAAGATGCATTCATACTACAAATGCAGAGTACTGAAAGGCGTTTATACAATCTCTAGGAGATGTTCAAATTTTCTTGTTTTGAGTACTGACCCTTCGGCTATGCTTGTTAATTGACCTTGCCATATAAGGCAAGTTTTTGGTCTTTGTTGATATGGTTTTGAAATATTTCAGCTACCACATGCCTTTATTTGCTGGGTGATTGTAGAATGATATTATTTTTGTTGTATTCATTTTACTTTTAGTCCTTGAAATGCTTTGTTTTCTACATTCACAGTCGGGCAATGTTCTGTTTCGATTGTATATTCTAAGGTCTACAATCTTTTTCTACTTAGTTGTTTTTCTACTTAATTATTCATCACATTGTTCAAAGCATGCATTATGAATTTGTTTGGATCTTGAAGGTTCTTCAAAGACCAATACCTTATGGTTCTCATATGTGTAGAGTAGAATACGTATGATCATGAAAAACAATAAATTGTTGTTTTAACCTTTGTGGATTATACTGTACAGATGTCAGGTTTATTACAGTCTTCATCAACCCAAAACTGGCTGAGTCCTCAAAGTAGCTCATCTGGTCTAATTGTGAAGCGAACAATCCGGGTGGATATTCCAGTTGACAAATATCCTAATGTATGGTTGAAGTACTAAATTCTGTTAATTTATCTGGGTACTTTTCTATGTTTGTCTGACATCAAATCCTTGTTGCAGTATAACTTTGTTGGGCGGTTGCTAGGCCCTAGAGGGAACTCTCTTAAGCGGGTGGAAGTGACTACTGAATGTCGTGTTCTGATCAGGGGACGTGGTAGCATAAAGGATCCGACTAAGGTAATAATGAGTTT